AATATCCAACTTTACTATTATACACATTTTTTTTTTATATTAAGTTTTAAGTGCCATGCTCGTGAAGCAAGTCTCGATTTCATCTTCCCCGTTGTCAAATAATTTTGAAAACTTATCATTCACTTGCTTTTTATGCTTATCTGTATCCATACACCACCTCCCATCAGTTTTTATGAAGTTATTTCTTTTATGTATATATTATATTTGTATTCAATTTGATCTCTATTCCATCTTATGTCAAATTAATCATTATATCTTCAAAAAATATTAAATTAATTTCTCTCGTAACTACTTACTAACTCCATTAATATATGTATCCCATGTTATCAAACTTTGAGACGTAATAAAATTCATATGGATATTTTTTTCATGTTGGATATAACATGATATTTAATTCTATTTACTTTTATATATTATTTATTTCAAATTTCAATCACAACATTATTCTTTTTTTCATTCTTAATCTAAAATTAATTTAAATCAACTTAAATTTGTATTATCCATGAGGATACCAGCAAAACCATGGATTTTCATTTCCAAAATAATCTCTTGCTTCCAATATATTCAAATCCATTCATTTCCCATCCACGTGTCCATTCTTGCATGAAATTCTTCTCGGTTTCTTTACTATTTTCTGAGTAAAATCCAAATATATATGACATATATACACACATATATTTATATATATATTCTCCTTACCCACAAATAAAACCTTGAATATCTCAATTCAAACGTTAAATGTTTGTAAATATAATGCATGCATGTATTAGAAGTTGGACATCTTCCTCTAACGTCTTGCAGAAGATATCTCAGTAGACAGTGAGGAAATAGATGAGGAAGAAGAAAAGGAAGAAAGAGTAGCGTTTAAGGGGAGGTACTTGCCAATTCTTTAATTCTCGACTAATTCAGATCGGTAAGGGCGTTCATGGGTCCATAACCAAACCGGATTGAAAAAATTATGACACGGGTATACATTGTGTGTATATATATTTTTCTTCTGTTTTATTAATTGGTCCAGACTCAGTCTGGACTGGAACAGAGTGGTTATCTTAAATCAAGGACTCCGGTCCGGTTGGGTCTTATGGTAAGAGATCAGTAAATGAACACCTTTATAAATTAGTTGAAGTTAATCTATTTATTTACACATCAAACACCACATGATATTGGATGAAAAATATACCTAATTAAATTATGACATACGTCAAGTCCAACAACACATTGCACAAGTATTAACCGAATTAATAAGCATTGATGAGACAGGCCAAATTGAGCAAAAAGAAAAAATAGTATATAGACAAAAATAGAATTACGCATTTTTAAACATTCATCTGGGCACGATTCCTTCTATGCATTGTCATAGCAGGATATATTACCTTGATCCACTACAATCTTTAACTTCCAGTGGTAGAGCATTTCTTCTCTTTGGAGAATAGATGTTTGATCATCCAATAACTCATTCTCCAGGTTGTTTGAAAAAGGAAGTTCTTTTAATCCTTGTTAGTCGAGTAATCCATCTATGTTTCACTTGAACAATATTTCAGAAGACCCTTATTCTGTCCAAGGAAATATGTCTAAATTAATTGTCTAAAGACATTACTCAAGAGTCCGCCGAAGCTTTTATGTTCCACCTTTATTTGTTCACTTCAACACACTCATTCTCTCCTCTTTAATGGGTATAAGTTCTTCTATGCTAATTCAAGCTGTCATGCTACTAACTTTTTTTGAAACATCGCACGTTCCTGGCTACATGATAAACCAATTGTCATGCTCCGGAATTTTGCATGACAAGCCATTTAAAAGACTGATTTGTTTGCAAGTATTTTCCAAATTTATCAACCACAAAATCTCATAAATTATGACGTAAATCTGTTGCCTGCACTTGTATACATTGTGCTGCCAATTGCAAATGAGCGTTATAATATGGATTCCAAAAACGTAATCACAAGCAATTTTCTCTTGGTTATATCTCCCATCTTTTCTCCTCCTTTCTCAGAACCCTCATTTACTTTCTTACCAACTCTTATCATTATTTCCAACTACCTCACTATTTAGTAAGTTCAATTAGATTTCATCATCTCATCCCTTCAATTAAACTACTGATTCCCAAGTCTCAATTTCTCTCCTCAAAAAGTCAAAACTATTACTCTGTTTATAGCCGCCGTAAACACAAAATGCCTGCTCTAACCCCAGTTACAAGATCACTTTTACCTCAGCTGCACTTGTCTCCATTTACCAATCCTACAACTGTTGCATCTCTCTCTTCCTAAGTCGCACTTATCACTAACTCCCAGTTCTATTCTAACACAACCTCTAATTCTTAAATCCTTATTTCTAACTATGTAAACTCCTATCTCTCTCTCTCTCTGCCATCCTTATCTCAACTAACAGTTCATCTCTCCTCTTAAAATTCACATTCAACCTTACCAGCTCTAGCTGCCACATTTCTTTATCTGAAAAAATTATCTCAAATTCCTGATAAAATTCTAATTTAAAATCCACCATCAAAATCCTCAAGTCCTGTTCCAAACTCTCCATCTCCACTCTCTTTTCAACCATCTCATCTTATCTCAATTGAAATTTGAACTCCAAATCCACCTCCTTTGATTCCAGTCAATCTGCCCATCTTATGATTACATAAAGCAAAACATGCTATACCACAACAAACATCGTACTAAGCCTTATCGTTGAGCTTCCTCCAAATTCCACCACTTCCAAAACTTTCCCTATTGAACCCAAAACTTTACTAAAACAACAAAACAACTTAGTTGGCAACAGGCAAGGACAACAGAATACAATGCCTTATGGCTAATAAAACTTGGTCTTTAGTTCCCCCTCCCCATGGAACCAACATTTTGAGATCCAAGTAGATCTAGCCAGGACTAAGTCAGATAGCACTCTTGAATTGCTGATAGCTAATTGGTGGCCTAGAGTCTCAAATATCATAAGACATTAATTATGATGAGACATATAGTCCAACTGTCAAAGTCTGCTTCCATTCATCTCGTCTTATCTCTTTTTGTCTCCTCTTCGTGGCCTATCTATCAACTGCAAGTTAAATGCCCTCCTCAATGCGACCTCTTAAAAAATGCATACATTCACCAATCACAAAGTTTTAAAGACCTGAACAATCCTGATTATATTGCAAACTGCAAAAGACTCTCTATGCCATAAAACAAGCCCCTCGAACTTGAATCTTTGTGTGTATCCACGCTTTGAGGAGGAATAACTATATGTAGTTAACTTGTGTAGCTACTTTTAGATTTGTTATCCCATGATCTGTTAAACGAATTCCATCTTATGGAGAATTCTCCATTGTAACCTTGTATAAAAATATATTATAAAAAAAATCAAAGGACCAAGTAGTGATATCATTCTGAAATTTAAAGGTGATGGAGACCTTAATTTTAGAACATTTATGCATTATCAATCTACCTTGTAATTCAACCCAGACATGTCAACCGGGTTCTCAACATTGCTTTCTTGGGTTTAAATGCTGCTGTTTGCCGAAAAAAGGGTTGAGCAAAAGTGCTGCTTAATAAATAAAAGCTACATGAATTGTAAATCTATAACGATAAGTCGACTCCAGACAAATTCCAGCAATGTCAAGTTACCAAGCCCACCAAGCTGATACTGTTATTTCTGAAAATGTAAAGGGGTTTCTTAGGGACAGATGAAATATAGGACATTTTAGTGAAAGCATATGGATTGGTACAATGTCTGACTAACATCACAATTCAACCTGTATATGAAACAGAGAATAAGAATATCTTGTTTTCTTTATCTTGGTACTGCAGATCCGATTAGGACCATCAACCAATTCTCCAAGAGTGTCTATCAGTGCACAAAATTCAGACTACCAGAATTTTGTAATAAAGGGATTTAAACATCCATGAATCCAAAGCAATGACATTCAATTTATTCAATTCTCATTTAATTCTTAGATTTTAGTTATATCTTATATAAAAAGTAATCATACTCTACAAGTTTAATGCATAAATACACTGCAATTACATCTTCTGTTCTAGCACCACCAATTTATATTCCTAGTTGTCAAGGAATAATCACAAAAACACTCACCTTCAGTTGGGCATAAAATTTCCTTGGAATTCAAATGTTATTTTCATTCCAATTTCTATCACTTTTGTATTGTATTCTCATTTATATGTCATAAATTTAAATTTAAACTAAAGTCAACCTTGTGGCATTTATTTACCTTACAGGGCAATTATGGAAATTTTCTTCCCAAATCCTTTTCCTGTGTGTCCTTGAATATATAAAGGGAAAATTAGAAAATATAAATGCAACATTTCAGTTCTTTTTATATCAACTGGAACCAAGAAAAAACGGGGTGAAAATCCTAGAAATTGTCTTCCCCAATCCTTTTCCTCCGTATCCTTGAAAAAAAACAGGTGAAAGCAAAGGTTATTAAAAAGGCAGCCTTGCACTTTCACCGAGGGTAATAGATGAGAAATGGTTTGACGTGGAATAATCATTTCAACATGTTTTATTTGCAATAAAATATTTTACATCCACAATCATAGTACACGAAATGCTGCCACTATAAACAACATAATTTACAACTTCAAGCCAGAGAGTTTGTAGAAGAGAGGAAATAGGCTCTTCTCTTAAAATGATCATACATCACTATCTTAGAACATTCTCACACATTTCCAAACCACTAAAACACCTCCTCCGATATAAGCTAAACTTCATGGCTTTCCATAACATACCTAAATGGGAACTTAAACTGAAAAAACACCATTTTCATTAAAATGTCTGGACATGAATATGATTTTATATCATAAAAAGTTTAACTTAAGAAACAGAGTCCTAATCCAAGATGGAATGAGATATCTGCCTTGCCCTAACATTTTGAAAATTTTAAAATATTATTGCTGTTTCCATGATAGTGGAAAGCAGACGCATGGAACCAAAAAGGTTTTCACTTTGGTGTTTGTTATATGTTTCCCAGAAACAAAGAGACTTGAAAAATGAAAACATGACCAAAGTACATGCTGAAACCATATCAGCTTTCATTTTGAACAAGTTATCGCAAAATGGTCCAACACTCTACACCTCTCACTGTTTAGTGTTGTCTGAGGCTTGCTACAATAAGGGTGGATAAAAATGTGTTCTTGCTGTTTAATCTATCTAAAAAATGTAGACATTAATCCTCAAAAGGATGTCTGCAATAACATAGATATAAGCAAATATATTAGTAGAGAAACAACTAGAAGTATGCCAATAGAATAAGTATACACCTCAACAAATGTGAAGACTCGTTGAAACTTCAAAGCTTACCAACATAACTATGCGTGCCTGCGTCTTTTTGCATTGTCCTCATTGAAGAGTTCCCAGCTATTGTGATCAAGAGTGGTCAGGTCATCAAGATCCGCAATAGCCAGCAAGTATTGGGTGAGCTTTACAAGTTCCTGATCACTATCTCGATTTGCATGAGCCCTCTTAAATGGCTTAATTTTCAATCCATTTTGTGGGTTCATCACAAAATTTCTTCGCAAATCATCAAACATGATTGTGTTTTTTGCACTGTAAAACTGCAGATGTATTGAAAAATAAAACAAAATAATTATTCAGGCCACTGAATGGAGCTTGTTCACTATATTTGCAATGAATCCATTCTCTATAATATTCAGGGGGAAAGGAAAAGCCTTCTTCCATTTGACAAAATCATCGGTAGCATGCAGTATCAACATTATTTAAGAAAATGAAGATGTTCCATGGTCTAAATGAACCATTACCATGACTTAAGAATGAAGAACATTCCACTCATTTTCCTAGTAACAACTAGGCTGCAAACTGTATCACACATGCAGAGCAGCTGTCTTTAAATGTGATTAGAATTTAAGTTATCTGTAAGGGATTTCTTAGGGTAAAAGATGCATATTCACCAGCTTAAGGGAGAGTGTTGAGAATTCTCCAATCTCTGTTGTAATGTTAGGAAATTTGTCTTCCTAAAAGTATGAGATACAGGTCAGGGATCTCACTAATATAGAGATTTGATTTGATTTAATATTTTTGTAATTAGTCTGTTGTTTCTTTTCTCTTTCTAACAGCTATGCATACCCATGTATATGTTCATTCTCACTATACAAGAAATTCAGTTTCTATCTAAATTCCACAATTCAGATTATGTAGGATCCATACTCTGACAAGCGTATATCAATTACTGAAGGCAGTTAAGGTTTGAATTTGTAAGTTAGTTGTTGATAGGCAGCTCCTAGTTTAAGGAAATTATTTTTATCCAAAAGGTTGCAATAAATTTGTCTGGAAATTATGTAATGGACAAGCATAAATCTCTAAAAAAATATTGAGTATTTTCTTACTCAAAGAGATTGTTGGATTCTATCTTACAATTGAGTCTATACTTGTGTCTAAAAATAGCAAAAGATAGAAGATCCAGAAAACTATTATCTGTACCAACATACTTTCAGTGTTAGTCCCGTAACTAGGATCCAGAAACCGCCCTCTTCAATAACGTATTTTAGTGTTTGTAGTCCTAAACCTAGATCCTGGATTAAGGCACATACTAATTCAGTAATAGAGTTTTCAGTACTAGAAGCTGAGAGTTTATGGGACCACCATGTGCTCCACCTTCAATGCGAGCCATCCTCGATAGTATGACAATGTGCAAGAAGCAAATGCCCATACAAAACTTCAAAATCAGTAGCCAGAAGAGTGAAACTCAATACAATACTTTGCCAACAAAATCCAATTGATGGAGGAGCTAAGCACCTAAAGACTTTTAGCTTGAGTCTATTTATAACAGTAATCCAAACAAAAATCTTAAAAGTTAAGAGAAATTTAGCCTTAAATGTGGAAGTCCCATTCTGACAACTGGAATCATGGGTCAGACAGTAAACAGACAAGTGCAAATGCTAGAAGGATCCAAGGTCAAAATATTTTTACCATAGGATGTTTTTTTTTTAAATTTCCCTTTTCCTTCTAGGGAGTACAAAAAATGCCGAGAACATAATCTACTATTATTAGTTGATAATTAATAATTTTGGAAGTATTTCTCTAATCTTCCTAAAAGATTTGTGGTTACCGATAACTAGTGTAATAAGCAGCCCATCTAAATGATCACTTTGTGTCATAATGAACTCCAGAAAATGAAAATCTATTCTTTTTTTCAATTTCTTTCCCACTTTGTTCTTGCTCTTCTCAGAATGAACTGAATTATCTTAGCAGAAAAAAACTCTGGGAATCAAAAAAGTAGCAGCATAGAAAATCATGAATCATGCCACTCCAGAGGCTGTTTTTAGTTTATGCCTTGCAAAGTGAGGCAAGAAATAAATCAACTTCCAAGTTATAGGACAACCTTTTTTAAAGGTAGCAACTTAAAACAGAGAAATCAGAACAAAAACACATTATTAATGAAACGAAAAATTTATACATCATACCTCCGGAAAATGACCCCAAATCAAGCCCAACGGCTTACAGTCAAGGATCCTACCAGAGGCTGACTGAACTGTGATCATGGCTAAATGGTCTAGAAGGGCTGTTATTTTGTAATTTGGATTGTTCAGCACACCAAGCTCTCCCATCTTCAATTCAACCCACTTCATACTGCAGGAACAATCTTCCAAATTAAGAATTGACATATCTAACTCTAGGAAACACTTTTGTATTAACCATATACAGGTTTTTATGATATAAGATTGAGAAATATTGTTGAGCAAAGATGAATAAAGGATTAGGAAAATTTGACCTTGTTGCAGACCATATCATGATGTCATATTCTGCATATGCAGCTGTAAGAAACTCATGAAGATCTGCATAATACAACTTATATTATCAAAAACCATGAAAAAAGGAATAAAAAGTGAAGTATAAATGACAGGCTGCTCACACGGCCGCATAAGTTCAACTGGATTTTCAGCTGTGGAGCGATGGTCAAACAAAGTATAGTCGATATCCAGAACAAGCAATTTCTTTCCTTCACGGCATGGAGTCCTGAGCTTGATCTGCAATTAACACATGAAAAAAGAACCCTTCAACAATCTATGTCTAAGAAGTGCTAAAAGACACTGTATCTGATTTCCAGGGATGCAGAAGCTCACACTAAGCACAAAAGTCTTAACTAAATATGAAAGACAAGCCAATATATGTAACTAAATGTTCTCCTAGTCATCAGCATCATCCTTCCGCGGATACTCTTCAAAAGAGCAGGCCAAACAAGACTAGAAAATAAAACTCTACTCTCTACTCAACCTTTTACAGTGAAAGTGAAATTATCCATGCAAGACATACAGATGCAAATAGGCGAGAATTTTACATGGTCTGATAATGTGCCGTGCCTGCTTTATGAGGCCATTTACAAGATTTTTCACTATTGAAGAACTATCTCTTAGAACTATTCATTTATCTGAAAGAACGAGAACCCAAAACTACAAAAACACCCCCATGAACAAAAATTTTTCTCTAGGACAAAATAGTGTATCATACTGGAAAGGGCTTAGCACAAACCCTACCCCTTGATCAGGACCTCTTTAAACAGTAATCTCTTTGAATATGAAAAAAAAACTCAACATTATCAACCTCGGCGAATATTCAATCATTTTCAAGAAATCTGAAATCACAGATGATAAATAGAAACCACCATCTTTTAAGTCCCACATCTTTTAAGATTATTCAACAACCAACCATAGGGAGCAAGTCCCAGTGATGTTTAAAATTCTCCATAGATAGCAGCTTTGTCAATGCTTTTGCGGCATAACCACTCTAGCCAACTTCAGAGATAGAATTAATTGTTTTCAAAGACATCAATTCTTTGGTTTTGGGAAAAAATAACATATATATCCCTCGTATGAGCATCTATAAAAGTATATTCTGCTGAGAAAATTGCACTTGACTGTCACTGTATAATTGAAGAACCTGTTATGTTAAGCCCATGATAATAAC